TATGACTTTGCATACTATACACGTCAGTGACACTGCTCGGTAGTTTAGTGCCTCATTTCTGTCTCCTTTTTTAAAAATGGGAACTACATTTGCCGTCTTCCATATCTCAGATAGTTGCCCAGTTTCAAGGGATGTGTTGAAGATTGTGGTTAATGTCACACACAGTATATCTGCTCCCTCTCTAAGGACCAACGGGGAGATGCCGGTCCCATTGCCTCACTTAGCAGCTTCTTCACCTCCTCAGTTGTGTGTGTCATCCAGCACTTGTTGGTGTATTCCCTGGTGTCCCCTTCTGTCCTGTCTTCCCAGAGTCCTTCCTGCCTCCACTGTGAATACTTCCTTAAATCTCTTGTTGAGCTCCTCAGCAAAATGCATGTAACTGTGAAGGTGTCTGCACAAAATACAACTTCAACAACAAGAACATCAAATGGGACCAGGTAAACCATGTCTTAAATGAAACATGCTAGGAAGATATCTTAAATAACATGGATCCAAACCATTACCTTGAAATCATCAACTTCCTGGCAGCTGAAGCATGTTCTAGGCATATTCCCCTAAGAAAGAAGAAGAGCAGGAGTAAATTGGAGAAAGACGATGAAGAATCACTGAACTCCTCAGGAAAGCTAGAATATTTGATACAGAGAAGGAAGCGCTGACCAGGGAAATGGAAACTATCGAACTTACGTTAAAGGACTCCTACAGGAACCAGGAGAGACAGGAGGAGCTTAAAGCTATTATTGAAATTGAAAGAAATTTTAAATATTTCTTTCCATATGCCAAAAACAAGGCAAATACCACATCTAGTATCAGACCCTTACTCAGACAGGATGGGACTTATACAGATGAAAGCAAGGAAATGAGTGAAGTACTGAATCCTAGTACGACTCTGTGTTTAGAGAGCCACTAACCAGTCTGAGGATCGACGATCCAAATGATTTCTTTAGGAATGAGCCTCAAAATTCCATCAATGTATGCCAGATTTCCGACATTACCCCAACTCTGATAGATTTTGAAAAAGCCATTGACAACATGCCCATGCACTCGACCCCAGGCCCAAACTCGTGGAGCTCTGTGCTCATTAAGAACTGCAAGAAACCCCTCTCATGTGCCCTAAGTATACTATGGAGAAGGAGCTTAGATGTGAAGGCTTACTCAGCCCTGTAACAACTTCAGTCAGTATTACTAAGGCTGGCTCCTCCTCAGGAAAATTAATGTATAGAAAAAGAATAAAAACTGACAAACATAAACACTTTATTATTTAGAAAATATGAAATATAAAACACTTAAATGTGAAGTATTAATTCTACATTAAAGAAAATGAAAAATGAAAAATATAAATGATAACTGAATTCAACGCTAATATAAATGTACATAAAACGTGGGTGTCTGGTGTTGGTGACACTGCGTGTTGTTGAAATCGTAGCCGTTGCTGATGATGGGGGAGGGGGGTCGCAGGTGTTGATGACAACCCACCGGCTCGTTCTTCTCAGATTTTCTAGCTTTCAATCCTTCCAGATGACAGGAAAGCAGGTTTTCTCCACTGCAATGATGAGGGGTTAAATCCTGCTACTTGCATACTCAAACAGGTAAGTGGATCAAAATTCGGGACATCTCAGAACGTTAGTCCGTCTCCTTCAATTCTACTCGTTGATTGGCAGGTGACCCTCTTTGTCATCCAAGCTGGAAAGATAGACAGGTTACCCACTGCTTAAGAAATCACTCTCCATGATAAGTACAATACCTGAAAAATGTGGTGATTATTACAACAGTCAACTTAGAGCAAGACGGAAAGGACTAAGTTTATTATTGGTCAAAAGTGAAGCTTCCAAAGAATAAATCCACTAGAATACAAGGCAGGCATGTACTTAAAGTAGTGCTGGGAGCTGAGAGTCTAGTGATTACTGTTTGGACCGGAGCCCCACACGTCACCTTTCGGGGGGGGGGGGGGAAGAAGGAGGGAAAGGGATAGCGGGAGCTAGACTGACCCTACCTTAACAAGCAGCCGGCAATCAAACTATCACTTTCGGGGTGGGGGGGAAAAGGGGGGGATAGCGGTAGCTGGACTTACCCTCCCTTAACAAGTAGCCGGCAATGAAACTGTTACTATATCGCTACTCCTATCTATTGAACTTTTCCCTCACATTAGACATTGGTGAAATTCCACAGTCACTTAAAACAACAGATATAGCCCCACTCTATAAAGGTGGCAGCAAAGTATTAACTAAGAACTATAGACCATAGCTCTAACGTCCCGCATAAAAATCTTTGAGTGCTAAGAAGCATGATTGTAAACCACCGGATTCCCAAAAACTGCACAATCCAGATCAACATGGGTTCAGAACAGGTCGCTCCTGCCTCTCACAACTACTCGATCACTATGATATGGCTTTGAATGCACTGGAAGACAAACAGAATGCAGATGTAATATACACAGACTTTGCAAAAGCATTTGGCAAGTGCGATCATGGCGTAATAGCGCACAAAATACGTGCTAAATTAATAACTAGCAAACTAGGGAGATGGATATTCAACTTCCTAACCAATCGAACACAAAGAATATTGGTCAAGCAGTAGCAGCCTGGTTGATCAGGCCCTGATCCACCGGGAGGCCTGGTCGTGGACCGGGCCGCGGTGGCGTTGATCCCTGGAATAACCTCCAGGTAGACTCCAGGTAGTTAGACATACCTCTTGATCGTTTCTTGTGAGTTCCCCGCCTTCTTTCCTCAGCCTGATCACCTGGTTTTTGACTGTTGTCTCTCTCTCTTAATGTCGCTATACAGCAGTTTCCGGTCAGACTTGACTTTCAATGCTATTTCATTTTCATACTGTAGCTGGGCCTCCCTCCTTATCTGTGCATATTCGTTTCTGGCTTTTCGACTGATCTCCTTATTTTCCTGGGTCCTTTGCCTTCTGTACCTTTTCCATTCTCTGGTGCACTTAGTTTTTGCCTCCCTACACCTTCGGGTAAACCAAGGACTCAGTTTGGTCTTCCCATTAATTCTGTTGCCTTTGGGAACAAACCTATCCTCTGCCTCCTTGCATTTTGTTATTACATTCTCCATCATTTCGTTTACTGACTTTCCTACTGTGGGCTTGGAGACTTCACAGGTCTGCTGATTAATTGTATTCGCAAAGTGGTGATACTGATTATGTGGTTTTGTTTTATATTTTTAGGTTTCGGAGTGAGTTATATTTGTATATAATAAGAGTGCACTAAGCAAGGTAAGGGTTAGCAATTGATGTAAGGATGCATTTTTTCCTTGATTTTATATATTCTCGTTTCTCAGACCTTAGAGTGGTTTCTCATTTTTCTTGTGAGTAGCTGCATCTGTTTGGATACAGAGAGCAGAGACCTGTGTTCTGTGTTCTTCTTAAATAAGACTCGGTGTTGGTTTAAAGCAAGATTTTTGTAATTTAAAGTAATCTTATTTTATGAGGTGGAAAAATGACTAAGCTTCGTAAAATTATGTCCGCTGCAAATGAATGTTTTACATAAAGTGACGTCACAGCATCACAGCGTGTAGGGGGAGGGGAGATGGGGAACGACAGCAACAATGATGTACTGGTATAGCACTGTCTTACTTTTAGAGGAAATAGTCTTTGATGCTGGATGATACGGTGTTTACTTTAGGGATGATGTACTGATGGGTAAATCACCTGTTATTTACGTGTGTGTATATATATATATGTGTGTGTATGTGAGTGTTAGAAGAGAGTCGTGAGTAGTTTGTTTATCAGGAGGCCTGGGTACCGCCGGCCAGATCTGCACAAAAGACAAGATTTTAACTTCCATGACCGCTAGGAGTTTATTTTTGTCTCTAGGTTCAATAAGCTTCAGGAGCAAGCTGACCTTGAGGTATCTGCTAAGGGTATAAAACAATGTGTCTATATTAGGAAAAAAATGTCTTATAATTATATAAATAATCTCGCTGTTTTAGTAAACGTTTCAGAAAGTGAAGATATAGCGCCACTAGACTAACGCGGGGGTAACATGGGGCCAAAGTGGAGATAACTAGTTTTATTTATTTTGTTGTGATGCTTAGGCATAATTTGTCTTTGGGTTTCGTTTTGTGCTCATATAGGCCCTGGCAGGTGTTTGGACCTGTTGTGTGAGTGGGGCATTTGTGAGTTGCAGGGATAGTGAAATAACAACGTATTTATCAGTAGGCTGGAGGCTGTTTTGGAGTATGCTGGCCCTGATCATGTTCAATTTTCTTACAGCCTAACTTATACGTTTTCGAGTATTTTAACTATGGTTTTGAGATATGAGTTGAAGACGGGTGTATATACGGTTTTCTATAATGTATGTTTTTCAAAAGGGTAGTTTATTTTGACTGTTGGAAGATGAAGGTTATTAACGATACTGACTACCTGTCTAGCGCTTATTGTGATTTTATGACTGTGGTCCTACGTTGGTTTATTTGGACAATTTTGTGTTTATTCCCGAGGTTCCCAACATCTTCGTAACATAGGCTAAGCGCGGGAGAATTACCAAATTATTGTGATGATTCAACTTTAATACCTGGGAAGGTCAATACTTTTTAGTTGAGGTACATCTGGAGGGTAGGTAGTTCCAGGCAAGTTTTGGTCAATGGAGGGAGTAAATATAAAAGTGTAGGTAATATGTGAAATGTTCCAGCAAGGATATTGTGACTTTTATTAATTTACTATTCCGATGGTCTCATGTTCTATGATATATTTATATACATGTCATCTATAAGTCTCCTGAACTGTCATTAAATATTTTTCTTTGGATGACAGCCCTAAGGATTGACTAAAGCTTCCCCATTTCTTTTGATATCTCAGCTGTGCTGATTCTTCAGATAGATCGTGTAGATTACGTAAATGGGTGACCGTAACTGAATGTCTCAAATAGCAAAGAGAGACGATTAACATGGCTAAGAGGCACATATGGCTTACACGTCAATGTTGCTGAGGTGGCGAAGGTAAAAGAAGTATATAAAATTCAGAATTCAGGACCTTGTTCACATACAGTGCCACGGTGACCCGGTGGACACATCACCAGCATAGCGGCACACAGTTTGACACTAATACCTGTAGCCGTGCCAGCAACACCACAAGCAGAAGATGTATCTTCAGTACATTCTGCTTGTCCTTGTGGCACTGCTAGCTCCCTGGGTACCCCGTGGCACAGCGGCAGTTCTGAGTAAGGTAAACGTCATCACCTGTCAAGGCTGAGTGAGTTGATACACTGTAGGGTTGTGGAATAAATAGATGCAGGGCAATTGAAATACTGCAGGATGAAGACTACAGTTATTCAGGTAAGTCAGGTGGGAAGATTAAGGTGCATTCAGGATTTTGACTCATGTGTTGTTCGGGAAGATTCATGTTCCACGAGAAGACTCGGTTACGTCGAGTATTCAGACTTGAGGGAACATTTAGTAAGACCAACGTGATGCTCGAACATGTTAGCACACTATTTAATGGCGAGAAAGGAGAAATAATGTATATTTCGTGCCGAATAAATAAAACTTGCTATTTTTCTTTGCGAATAAAGCAAGCGAAAATTTGTGTATGCAATAATTTCGCAAAAAAATCATTCTGACCCTAACGACAAAATATATTTCATTGCGTTTGTTTATTATAAAAATGACCGTAAACTTACCTAAAATATATTTAGTTGGATTAGGCTAAATGAAATTGCGCTTGTTATAATAAGGTTAGGTAAGTTTGCTTAGGTACTTTTGGTACAAAATCATTAACTTTAGGCTAACATAAATAAAAAAAAAACATATCTTTAAACTCATAAGAGAAAATTTTAGAAAGCAGGTTAAGTGCCAGAAGACAGGACAGGTGAAAAACTGAGGAGCAAGTCAGAAAAAAAATCTGATGACGATAGTACCAGAAAACAGGTCAATAGTAGCAGTAATAAGACAGTAATAGACAGAGAGATGAAGGTAATTAGAAGACAAAAGGATGATAAATGTTCCTGAAGAAGGGATAATTTAATGTTTCTGGCAAAGAGGAATACATTTTCAGTGATAGACAGATGAGAGAGTAAAGGTACGTGAAGCAGTGAGAAAAGCAACTGGGAAAGAGGTACTTAAGACAGAAATCTTTAAACCGGGTGGGGATCTGGTTGTCAAGTGGTTGATCACTTGTTTAATAAATGGATGACAGTGGGTAAGATGCCTAGTGACTGGCAAAGAGCATGCACAGTTTATTTGTACGAGGGAAAAGGGATATTAGAGAGTGTACGAATTCTAGGGGAATAAAACTGTTGTGTATACCAGGTATAGCGTACTGTATTCTTTATTGTAAGAAAGACTGAATAGGAATACAGATGAACAAGGTTTTAGGAGAGTTTGGAGATGTTAGACCAAGTGTTTACGCATGTTTACCAACAGGCTGGAGGCTGTTTGGGAGTATGCTGGCCCTGATCATGTTCAATTTTCTTACAGCCTAACTTATACGTTTTCGAGTATATAAACTATGGTTTTGTGATATGGGTTGAAGACGGGTGTATATACGGTTTTCAATAATGTATATTTTTCAAAAGGGTAGTTTATTTTGACTATTGGAAGATGAAGGTTATTAACGATACTGACTACTTGTCTAGAGCTACAGGTATAGCGTACTGTATTCTTTACTGTAAGAATTAAGGGAAAGACTGAATAGGAATACAGATGTTGGACCAAGTGTTTACGCAGAAACGCATAATTGTAAAATACTTTTTTCTCTAAGGAATTTTTAGTTGCATTTATGGATTTAGAAAAGCATGTGATAAGGTGGAAAGGGAAGCAATGTGGCAAATGTTAAATGTGTGTGTGAAATAGGTGGAAAGTTACTGAATTCAAACAGTAGAGAGTGGATAGCGAGAAGATTGTTATTTTTGAGAAATAGGGAAATTAAAATAAATTAAATAGGGATATGTGATGTCGTAGCTATTTAACCCATTTTTAAATGGGATTGTAAAAAAAACCGCTAGGGTGTTTGGAACAGGAATGGGTTTGAAAGATGAGGATTCTGGTAGGGAGTAAGAGTTGTCACAGTTGCTGTTTGCTAATGACATCATACTTACTTGAGACGGTGAGAGGTTCAAACTCCACCCGTGGTATGGTTTGTTTGCAATCGTGTCATTACGATTTCGTGAGTCGAGTTGGTAGAATAAACAGCAATTTACTCGGAGTAACAAAAAAAATCGATATAATGAAAGACCGGATATCAGACCGAAAGAGAGTGAAGCAAATGTGTCCAAATACTTAGGAGTGGCGGCGTGTTGGTCTATGAATGAGGTGAACCATAAAACTGGCATGGAAAAAGGTGAAATTAAGACATGCGCAACATCTGGGTATCTTTATTGTAGACGTTTCGCCAACCAGAGGCTTTATCAATATAAATTCTAGGACATAACTTGAAGACAGTAGGACTATATACAGATGAGGTAATCAGTCTCTCAACCTGAGGGACTGATTACCAGATGTTGCACATGTGTCTTAATTTCATCTTGTCGGTATTATATACCATTCTTACACATGGAAAAAGGTGTGCGGTGTATTGAGACATGAAGGGAAAAAAAGGAAATGTGCCTGGTAGAGTACTACACTAACTCGTATATAGGTGTGAAGTATGGGATTCAATTGTAGTGAGGAGTCTAGATGTAGTGGACATACCGTGTGTGAGGCCAGTTTATGTGGTGCGAACATTATGCAGGAAAATTCGCAGTTTGAAGATCAGAATGTAAGGAAGTTAAGAGAAGCATTATTAAGAGGACTAAGGAAGAGTTGAAGTACTTAGGGCATTGTTGCGAATGAGATATTTTATAAAGAACTTCAGAATGTGGTCTGTTACTATTTTCTTCATAGGCAACAAGATTTTGGATCAGAGTTAGTTAAAGGTATTTTAGAGTCTAGGGGAAATAATTTCAACTGGGAAACTCCATAGAATAATATTCAAATTTATTAAAGTATTTAAATACAATTCTTTATCTTCTCTCAGTACCTAATATTATATCTTAATACTTTATGTACAATAAATTTGAACATTAAAATGGTATAAAATACCAAGTGCAACTAATGAGACATTAGTTGCACTTGTGTCCTTTTATTTTACAAGATTAATTTTCTTCCTGTAATTAAGTCTTCACTAACATTTACGTCTTTGTCTTAACAAGACTGTGTAAACTCAAACTACAAAATGAACAAGATTCAACAAGACCTTTGAATCCGGCCGTAAAGGAAGTAGAAAGCAAGAGTTTGTCTGAGAAGACGTATCTCTATGGATTACTGAACTGACCAAGAATATAAATATCAAAACAATCTTAAGAGCAATGAGGAACAGAGTCAACTCTAGAACCTAATTCTCAAACCCATTAAAACTGTATACACCTAAGAGAGAACGAATATACGATCAGTTGTCAAGGCTAGAACGCATCGACTTCAGGCTGAGGGACTGATTACCTCATACTCCTCCTCTCCTTACGCCTTCCTCTTTGTATTGGACTGATGAAGCCACTGTGTGGCGAAACGTTTCCTGAATAAAGATTCCCATATGCTGCATAAGTGTCTCTCTCAATCTTCAACTTGTCGGTTTTTCAAACCATTCATCACAAGGCTAGAACAGGGAGCGGACTGACTACCTGCCAGTCTGTTGACCCGTCATCAGGTTGGATCACCTGACCCAAACGTCAGTCAGCCGAACATAAGCAATTGAACAGTTTACCAGATGTTTCCGAGACTTATGCTCTATGTACATAAGAAATTCAACCTAACAACAACAATAATAATAGTGATTATACCATGGTATTTTTTATAAAAACATTAAAACATAAGAAAGGAGGAACACTGCAGCAGGCCTGTTGGCCCATACTAGGCAGGTCCTTTACAATTCATCCCACTAACAAAACATTTGCCCAACCCAATTTTCTATGCTACCCAAGAAATAAGCTCTGATGTGCAAGTCCCACTCATGTACTTATCCAACCTAAATTTGAAACTACCCAAAGTCCCAGCCTCAATAACCCAACTAGGTAGACTGTTCCACTCATCAACTACCCTATTTCCAAACCAATACTTTCCTATGTCCTTTCTAAATCTAAACTTATCTAATTTAAATCCATTGCTGCGGGTTCTCTCTTGGAGAGATATCCTCAGATCGCTTGAACTGTTGCATAAAAACGGGTATTAAGTCTGAAGTAACACATACAGATTGAACATTAAAATGGTATAAAATACCGACAGGTTGTTAGGTAAGACACATATGCAACAGTTAGGTATCTTTATTATGAAACGTTTCGCCTACACAGTAGGCTTCTTCAGTCAAGTACAGAAAAGTTGATAGAAGCAGAAGATACTTGAAGACGATGTAATCATTTTAATGTTCAATCTGTCAGACACTGCAACACAAGGGTATCTTGGTAGAGACCTGCAATCAACTTCGACAACTTCCACTAGTAAGAGCGGCTGTATTTGAAAGGGACCTGACCTCTCAGCATCTGAGTTCTTACCTCTCCTAGTGGCCTACGTCTCACCTCTTGGCGCTATAAAAAGCTCCATCCTGTCACTTCATCTCCATATTGTTTCACACTATGAAACAATGCTCTTCTCCAGACTGAGGGACTGACCACCTCAAAACTTTAAGGGTGATGGACTGATTACATCGTCTTCAAGTATCTTCTGCTTCTATCAACTTTTCTGTACTTGATTGAAGAAGCCTACTGTGTAGGCGAAACGTTTCATAATAAAGATACCTAACTGTTGCATATGTGTCTTACCTAACAACACATACAGAGTCTGTTTGGAAAGAATTTTCAGAGGGGCATGAAAAAATAACTTTAGGTGTGATATACCGTCCCCCAAATTTAGATAGGGACCAGGGAAGACTACTATGGGAGGAAATTGTTAGGGCCACAAGGCACGATAATGTAGTAATTCTAGGAGACTTTAACTTTAGTCATATTGATTGGAATTTCTTGACTGGGAATTTAGAATCATACGATTTCTTAGAAGTAGTTCAGGATTGTTTTTTGAAGCAGTTTGTGACAGAACCTACAAGGGGTAATAACCTGAGTGACTTAGTTCTGGCAAACAATGAATCCCTTGTTAATAATTTAGAAGTTTCAGAGGAACTGGGTGCTAGCGACCACAAATCAATTACATTTAGAATTGAATGGAAGTATGATAGTAGGGATAACTCAGTAACAGTCCCAGATT